ATGTAAGATACACTTGGAAAAGTGCTTTGTTTTCTGTAACCCTGATTCAAGGATACACTTGGAAAAGTGCATTGCATTGGAAGAGTTTTTGTTTGGTATTCTGTTATCTGGTCAGAGACTGTATTTATGTTATTTTTGGGCTCGAAGCCAGTCTGAGCCGAGAACTAATAAAGACAGTTCCTTTTAAGTTTGTTGGCCTGTCGTCTGTTAACGAGCGGAGAAGGGGGGACAGAACAGAGGCCTACATTCTCTTCCCTTACCAAGAAAATTTAAATAGGAAAAAATATAATGAAAGAACAGCCATCTAAGTAAAAGCCAAACTTACAAAGAAAACCATGGCTACTGAAGAACAATAAATATCTGAACACAACCCATGTGGGCTTTCAGTTCCTATTCTCTCAAAAATCTAAGTTTTTATAGTTGTAGCTTAAAACTCAACAGGGTAACATTGTTCTTCCACAATAAGGACTACAGTAAATGTGATGTAGGCACAGGAAGTACACAATAATTCTGGAAAATCAATTTGCTTTGCTAGTTCTCTGCAAGAGAAGAAATGATAACCTTTTTCAGTATCTATCACCATATGATTTTAAATTGATCAAATTTATCACACATTAGCCAAACTTCACTCAACACTTTGTAGTATGTGTCATTTGTATCCTTTTTTTCTATTAAAATGGATGTCATATTAAATATTGACATTTTTCCACATTTGTCATGTCTCCTGACTGACTTCATCTCAGAAGAACATCATTAGTCCCCTGGGTACAGGAAATGAAGAGACTGAGCTGGAAGTCAGGGTTAAAAGTGTCATAACTTTGGAGTCACTGCATTGTCATAAACACCATCCTTGAGTTCTGCTGATCCTTAATCTAGTGCCAATTTAGCTTGGACTGTTAGTTAATTAGATTCCTATATTAGAGGCAGTAATAATAAACTTTTCTTTGAAATCAACCAATGTTTTTGGTTTGTTTCACACTGGGGAAGACTAAAATCAGAAAATTATTACTGTAAAAAAGTGAAGTCTTATTCCTTTAAGGCAAAGCCTTTAAGTTCTAGAGAGCTGCATAATTCTTCACTAAGTGGGCATGCCTCTGAGGATCACCCAGAAATGCATTTAGTACAAAATATAGTGGCCCATATACTGGCAGGTCTATCTGCCAAGTTCACATTATATCTATGCTACAAGTTGTGTCCCATTTACAGAGAGGCTTCTGCATCCTCTCTCCCCCCCCCCCCTCTCTCTCACACACACAGCCACACACACACACCTTGATGTCTAGGTTCTTGCATGTAAATCTTCTCATACCTACATCAACCTGTCCACTACTTCCACCAGCCAGCTGGCCATGTACTAGTTTAGCATAATAAAATAAAACACATTTTTAAAGGATAGCTTTAAAAATGCTCCCTCAAGCCACTCAATTATTTTTGATCAGTAGAAGATTCAAAACAGAAGGAAACCTACTATTAATGCAGAAGAATCAAAGTTTAGGAAGATAGACAGGAATATTTTTTTTACAAAATACAGACTAATGGAATCTGTTTCCTTCAGACATAGCAAAAACCACAGGTGTCAAACTCTATTTCACTGAGGGCTGCATCAGGGTTATGTTTGACCTATGGGAAGGGGGGGTAGAGTGAGCATGGCCAAGGTGGACGTGGCCAGCTTGATATCACTCGTGTCAGGGGCGCCTGTTGTGGCCCGAGCACCCTGCCAGTGAAAACGGGCTCCAGAGCTCCATTTCGTGATAGCCTCCTGCGACCCTCTGCCAACGAAAACGGAGTTGGGATTGCTGCGTGCATCCCAAGTTCCATTTTTGCTGGTAGAGGCACCGCGAGCCACTCCTTTGCTGTTTCCAGGGTGGCTCCCCAGGCCAGGTCCAAGCACCCTGTGGGCCAAATCCGGCCCCGGGGCCTTCAGTTTTAGATGGTATAGTTTCCTCCACCCATATCATGGAGAGCTTGCTACTTCTTTTTGCTATACCAACCTGTTTACAGACTTCTGAAAGCTTTTACATGACTACATACATACTTCTGGCCTAACCAATGCCGTTTTTCTTTTGTATACAAAAGCCTGCATGAGTTATGAGTGCTGGGAAGTCTGTGTGATATGCACAGTCTATCAACCACTGACATTTGTAGAGACAGGAAATGCATCCATCTGAACACAGCTTGGAAATGCAGAAGCAGAAAAGGAAAACCAGGTTAAAAGAAACTCAGTGTGAAGCTGTAAGAATAAAATGAGTAAAGAGAACATGCAAAGAATAATACAAGAAAGATTGCTCATTTGGAGAAAACAGCAAATCTTAAAAGCACACAAAGGTAATGTAAACTGGTTAATACAATACCAAGCATCAAATGTATTAAGTTTCCCAAAAGATTTTGCTGGGAATTGAACTGAATGACTTGATAGTTATATAATTTAATGGAAAAAATCAGTAGAATTGCAATTACATCTTCAGACAAACTATAAACTAATAAGGAAGTTTGCACAATTCAGAAACTTATATAGCAGAAGCTGAAATTTCACTTTTGTTTTTAAAAATATACTTACATTATTCTTCTGGCAGATAATTTCCTGTAAAAGGGGAAAAACATATGAGAGAACTACACATGAACAATGTATGCATCTACCTACTGTATACTTAACAAAAAATACACTTAATGTTGTTTCCTCAGGGAACTTTAGATTTTCTTCACAAAAATCTGTTGCTTGGTATAAAAATAAATTGCTGATAGGTGCTACATCATATTAGCATTATATTAGTTGTTGAATGAAAGGGCTTTAAGTATCACTAAAATTCATCATGTTATTAAATCAAAAGGTTTTGGTCCTCGAAATTAAACAGATGAAACTTTTCTTGGAATGAGCATAGGTGAATAAGAAATGCTTCATGTGTTAATTTCATTGTATCAAGAAAAATGAAGAAGGGCAAAAAAGTAACTAGACAGACAGCGGAAAAATTATCACAACTATTTACAAAGCAACATTATTAATTAATCAGCTTTGATGTTTATTCTGAGTATTTACGCTGACATAAAGCTGAATTAATAGCATGCCAGCACTGACACAGCAACATTTTTGTATATTCCATACCTGTTTCTTTTGCACATTTTAATCATTTATGACATCAGGAAAAAAGAAGGTCCAATCAAAATAGAAAAAGGGATCTAAATCTTTATCCTATCGGATTGCATGCTCTCATTCTAGGTAACTGTTCCGTGAAATAATGTTGTTTTGTCCCTTTGCTAAACATAGTTCTATTTGTTAGTGGAAACCTCATATTCATCAACCGTTATTTATAACAGCATCACAATTGGCTAGAACTGACAGCAACATGATGACGTAGTCTTCTATGTATCACAATGTTTCTGAATAGAAAACATTTCCTTTTTGAAATCTTCAATATAAAGCATATGAGTAAAATTCCAAGCTACATGTACTCCAGCTAAAATACCTCTGAGGAGTTTAAAGAGTAGAAGTAAATAAAAGCACATGTTTGTACATGAAAAGGGTAAATATTACCATCCCATCTGGTTTAAGTCCTATATGTACATAGGAAGATCGTGTAGGGAATCATCCCCACAAGAGATCTCAGTCCAACCCACCTTGAATTCCTTCTAGTCTTATCTTCCGCTAACTTCCTTTGGCCTTTAGTAGTTCAGATTCTTGTAGAGAGCTCAAGCTTACAATAAATCTTTATACCATTTGAACTGTCTGGATATCCTGATCTCCTGGTGCGCAACAGATCTAGGCTACAGATTGCAATCCTTTTGATAGACTTATATTTGTTTCTACTGTTACACAAAAAAGAGAATTTTGTCAGGGAGAGATTTTGTTTCAAGTGGAGCAATAAAGTGCAACTGTCTATCCAAAAGCTTTTTAATGAATGAAGCATAGATTCTGCATAATGTTTCTATCTCCTGATAGAGATGGTAACTTTCTGACAAGTATTGACCTGTCTGAGATACACCTAAATTGCATTTGGACACTGAAAGGAACAAATGTATCTTTGAAAGAGTGGTACTTGAAACTGGGCTTCCCAAATAAAATATATCTACAACCCAAAGTTGATAAAAACATGGGATCCCAATTCCACTTTTTCCTGGCCATGAAAAAGCAGAAGACTGGTATGTTTTTTAACTGCCTCCTATAGTGAGCATTTCTGATGGCCAAGACCCAAATAACTGTTTTACCATATGCTATCTCTCATGTAGGCTAATCCAACTGATGCAACCATTAGTAGAGATCATCTTCATTTTCCCACATCCTTTGTACATTCAGCTGGTATTAAGCAGCAAGAAAGTCTCTTTTTTTGTGGTGTATCTTACTCTGTGAAATACCTTCATCTTGAGATAAAGCTTGTGTCAACCTTATTACAACTGACAAACAAGCTGAAAACATGTTCATTTATCTTCACATTTGATGCCTCAAGATGGTATCCTTCCACAAGTCAAGGCCATAGGTTTGCACATTCTGGGCTATTATCTTATCTGATCAATCTGTTTAAATGTATGTGGCCTACATTTTAATGTTGCAAACTCTTAGGAATTCGTGGCATTATAGGCAATAAGCCATATAGGCAATATACAAACAATTTAAATACAAAGATAAATAATATAAGAATAACATTAAGAATATGCTGGGACATACAACAATACTGAAAAAGTAAAAATAATATAATAAAATCAACCTATGAATCAACTCATGCTCCAGAGATATGAATATGCATATGCAAGCAGGGGTTGTGAGGTACAAAACAATAATGTTAATTGTTAGACACATTTTCAGAAGATACAGAGAACTCAATTGTATAAAAATCTCTTTAACTATCAATCAGTATGAGGATGACCTTATCTATCTGAAAAGGAACTATGCTTTTCTTAGAATTTTCCAAACCAGCGCTTGCTAAATAGGCATCTGTCATGAATATTGTAAATGAAAGCTATATTAGTGTAACTATAATAGTCTAGGTTCTTTCCAGCAATGTTAGGTGTATCCCAATTTTTTTTCTCAAGGATTTATTCTTCTTTGTGTCTAATTCCTGAACTGTTTTGATATAGACCTTTGTACAATATTAGATTCCAAGAAGCAACAAGGAATCAGTCACTATCTATGCAAAAATAATATTTGTAGGGCAGCTATAAAACACATGATTAGCACTGGCACAGATTGTGAGGCTTGATTCATTTAGACTCAAAGTATATGATACAGGAAATGAGTTAATTCTAGAATCCAGATACATGTGAGACATACTTAGTATTTACCTCTTGCTTTTTTCATATTAAAATGATTTAGCAATAAGCCACTTAGATGACTAACCATAGTAAGCATTTAAGGCAGCTTCTTAAAAAACAAAAATTAGTGGAAAAAGTAAAGGGATTTTTTTTAAAGAAAAAGGTCTATTTGGAAAATATATCCTCCCCTTTCTTGATAAATTAATTATTTTTTATAATCCACATTTGGTTGAGACTGAAGAACTTTCTTCAAATTCATAGAAAAAATTAGAAACAGAATCACAGCAGTTGGGCTTCAGTTCTGCAATCATTTTACTTCTAACCTCACTTCCTACATCAATCTTTTTCCAACATTGGACTTTTTAGATAGGCTGTGTCTGCACAGCACACAAGAACCCTGAACTGTTTCCAAGCTTCTAGGAATCTAGGCTATCATGGCAGTAACTAAAACTGAAAATTGTGTAGGTACCAACAATTCCACACAACTCAATGATACATTTCTCTGTATCTTTCTCCAATCTACCTTATCTTTACCCAAGCTTTGCCTTAATTTTAGAAATGCATCTGTACCTTCAGTGATTGCAGAGAATCTGTGTTTGTATCACAGTAGAGAATAATGTTGTTGGCCATACTGAAGCTCTCTCGAACTCCCAGATGATAGAAGAGGGAGGGCTGACGGAAAGCATCGCTCATTTCCACCACAGCAATATCTGCAAGGAAGATCAAAATATATGCTAATCAAGTACAGTGCTCAAAAAAAGATATGCTAATAACCCATTAACTTTTTTCAGTAATTGTTTTAGTCAGCTAATATCCTGAAAGATGAAATCTCTCAAAAAGATTATTTGAAAAACAACTACAATGAATTAACATAATACATAAACATTTTTTACTACAAAAAAGAGAAAAAATAGTGAAGATAATCAGCTTCTTCCCTCTCTTTTGATTATACTCCATTTAAGCATGATTATATTCCAAGGGAAATCCACAGTGGACAGAGGAGCTCCCATTTAGAATAAAGAGGCAAAGACTGAAATATCAAAAGCTCCTTGAAGCACATTAACAGAGAAGGACCACCGGAATGCAACACTTCATGCTCATAAATTTATTATTTGGAGTGGTCTTTCACTGCAATTGGAAATATGTGGCATTTGTAGCTTTCCTTTGATGGTTCCATAAGATTCCTGGCTCATCACCTCATTTGGCTCTGAAGTTGCATAGCTAAATAATCTTCATATAATGTTTCCACATGGATATAAAACCAAGTATTTTCAAATCCTTTCCATTTTAACGTGTCTACATTTATTTACAATGGACAATTCTGGGTCACATTCTAACGTACACTGGTGGTTGGCTAAGAGGAACTTAGTCTGCACCTCTGAGCACATGGAACATTCCTCTCAGGTAAATATTTATGACAAGATCAATAGTAGGAAGAAACTGGGTTTTTTTGTGAGAATCTTGTTGCTACTAAGGAAATTCTTCAAAAGAGCACAAATTAATACTTATAAATTCCTGTTTAACAAATAATTGCAAAGGGCTTCATATTGAGCTCTCTTCCTGATGATCTGGAATACTCCAGTGCCATCAAATGAGGATTGCTGGTTTTTTATAAAGATTATGGACATTTTGTTAATTCAAAAATAGTTTCATGGACCTCATTAACGACCCTTTAGGGGACCAATTTCAGTCTAGTGCTGCAGTTGTTTCTAATGAAATTATTCCAGCTACAAAGAAAACTCCATAGAGCTGATTTAGCAGTACCAAATCTCTATCATGTTTTTCTCCATTTTCCATATGACCTCTCGCTAGATCTTGCTAGTTCTCAAGGAAATAATCTACTGTACCTGTAAATTTTACTCAACTCCATTAAAAGTGAATTTCCTGTGATAACCAATGGAAGATAAACACTCTACTAATTGAATAATGGACCATATCTCATAATGAATACATTTTTTCCATTTTCATAACATATAATCATATGTGTACTATTGCATAGCCAACATCATATTATATTATTACATGTTTACATCAATTCATCTTACCATCAACTCCCAAAAACAATTATTGGCTCTTCTGCTCTCCATTCACCAAAACTGTGAGCGCATGCATGATTGCCTCACTTGCGCACATGCCTTCCACACATGCACGCAGCCTTCCCAACCTGCATTTTGCTCGTATGCATGGTTTGCACACATGCACATGGCTTAGAAAACATGGCTAAATAGGGCGGCATAGCGCTGGGGCAGGTGAGCGGGGGGCGGGTCTACCTGCAGGTCGCCACTACCGATTTGCCTGAACTGATCCGAACCAGCTGAATACCACCACTGATACTAATGTTAAACTAAATGCCTGCGACTTTTGAATATTTATGCAACATTGTGACATGCACAGAAAAGGAGCAGGGCTTGAATCCCAAAATTGCAACACTGCCTGTGTTATTTTGACCTCCTTCTCCTCCCTGCAGATGTAATGCCAAACATCTCAAAGGCCAAGGCAGTCTACCCATGTTTTATTCTCCTGTAAAACTCTGGTTTAATTCAGCAGCCACTTTTGTATCTCTGCAACTATTACATAAGTTTAAAATCATTGTATTGTGGACCACTTACTTAGCATGCAAAAGAAATCTTTATCACTCCAGAGAAAGCTTGCATTACTAATTAGACATGCAAAACAGATTTACAATTGCTCTCTTCCCAAAATTAAGAGAGAGAGTATAGATAAATATAACTGCAATGCCTTAGTAATATTTGAAGTCAGTTTGGTGTAGTGTTTAAGGCAACAGAATAGAAACTAGGAAATCATGAATTCTAATCCTGCCTTAGATGCAAAGACTACTGGGTATCTTGGGCCAGTCATTCTCTCTCAGTCCCAGGAAGCAAGCAAGGGCAAACCAATTCCAAAATCTTACTGAGAAAGCTATAGGGACATGTCCAGTTACCAGGAGTTAAAAAACAACAACAATAAAAATCCTAACCTAAAGGCACCAAGAAAGAATAGTCTTATTCACTTCTTTTGCTTCTCCAGCTGATATGTCACTTAATTAAAATATGGCAGAAATGTGCTGTTTTATATGATTTTTATTTTTTGGATGTACATCATTTTTGCTTTTACTGTATTGTACTGTACTGGCTTAGGTGTTCTCTAAACCTATGTAAATAAATAAAATTCCTCAATTATAGAAGGCAACCATTCCGATTCTGGATTGTAAAAAGCAAGGATCTGTCATTGTTCTTTGCTTTGTATTTATAACTATCTTTACATCTTTCTAAGGGTCTCAAGGAAGATTTTTATCAATGAGGGTGTATTTCTTTCACATGTGCTTGTTCCGGAGTAACTGATACCAATTCCCCGAGCATACAGAATCCGTACAATGCATACACTGCATCCGAACAAATTCATTCAAGCATTTTCTCTACTGATTTGTGTTGGTGTATATCGTTCCTGATGACACAGCATGAACTTTAACAGTTCCACTGGGGTAGTCCCCTGCTTGCAGAATGTTTCATTTGTCCTTTCCATTGTGGTTTTTAAGACATGGAAAGATTCTCAGTTATTTCTTTTTAAATACAACTGCTTCCCAAACTAAGAGGTACTTCTGAAAGCCCATGGTTGGTTCATCAACATTTTATTGGGCGGGGGGAATACACAATATTGTCATGCATTTGTAACTCCTTTGGAGAGAAAGCAATGAATGAACTGGGGGGAAAATAAATGAATCCAGTTCGTGTTTTCCCAGTTCTGTCTTTTTTTTTCCTCATTGGAAAAGGTTCAACTTTTACCAAAGACCAACAAAACTTTCACTAAAACAGATGTGCCTAATGACTTTCCTCTGTTACTAACTTCTGGCTCATCCCAACTTCGTGGATTGCCAACTACTTCTCAAGCCATTTCAAATCTAACTCTATTTCCTTTCAGTTTCTCTTCACCAACTGCAGATCACAAATGCTTTCAGGAGCTTGCTACTGCTGAGTGGATGAAAGTGAAAGGCAGGTAGCAGGAGAGCAAGGAGGACAAGCAACGAATATCAACACAGAAACCTAAAACATAGTAGAAATTTGCTGAGAAGCACGTTCCACTCAATGGAGAGGTACACAGGAGATAATTCCTCAGTGTTTTTGTTGCTTACAAGGTAGATGGGTTGGTTTAGGCCCTTGCCAGACAGTTGACAGAATGTCTATAAGGTAAAGATAAAGGTAAAGGTTTCCGTCACACATATGTGCTAGTCATTCCTGACTCTAGGCGGGTGGAGCTCATCTCCATTTCAAAGCCGAAGAGCCAGTGCTGTCCAAACACTCTCCGTGGGCATGTGGCCAGCATGACTAAATGCCGAAAGCGCATCGAATGCTGTTACCTTCCCACCAAAGGTGGTTCCTATTTTTCTACTTGCATTTTTTACATGCTTTTGAACTGCTAGGTTGGCAGAAGCTGGGACAA